GGAAGGAAGGAAGGAAGGAAGGAAGGAAGGAAGGAAGGAAAAAAAGAGAGAGAGATGGGGAGAGAGAGAGGAGAAAAAGAAGTTAGTGCATTTTTTTGAAGTTGGAGGTTCACTTACCAGTCTTCTTTTGGGCTTTATCAGCGGCCGATTTTGCCCATTCATTTTATGATACAATCCACAGGCGTTACAGAGGTAATGCCCTGTGCCATCTCGCCTCCATAGTGGGGTTGAGGTAGCTCCACAGTTTACACACTCCCTGCCTTCTGAAAACAAAAGGGGACACAAATCATTGAGGAGCAGCAGAGGAAGGAAGAGGGAAGCTGGCTGGGAAGTGGTTAGGACAGGGTTTATCCTGCACCACCAAGCTCAGCATTCATATCTCACCACCTCTGGTTAAAAAGCCAGAGGTGTTAAAATTGAATAAGATGTGATAAAATCCCAGGGATTGGCTTAATAAATTTCTGCAGGTAGTCTCTCGACTTACGACCACAACTGAGCCCAAAATTTCCAGTGCTAAGCAAGAAAGTTGTTAAGTGAGTTTTTTACAACCTTCCTTGCCGCAGTTGTTAAGCGAATCAACGCAGTTGTTAAGTGAGTCACACGGTCGTTAAGTGAATGCCCCCCATGGACTTTGATTGTCAAAAGGTCGCAAAAGGGAATCACGTGACCCCAGAGGACACCGCAACGGTCATAAATAGGAGTCAGTGGCCAAGCATGGGAATTTTGATCATGTGACATGAAACATGAAAAATGGTCGTCACTTTTTGCAATGCCGTTGTAACTTTGAACGGTCACTAAATGAAAGGCTGTACGTTGAGGACTACCTGTATACCGCTGGCATCTGGGGACAAAAAAAGTGCAAAAATAAAGCTAGATGGCTGTCTTCTCCCCAAACACACAATTAAAACCATAACTCAAAAATACACTGATAGGAAAACAAGAACTGGGTAGCCATTTGGATTCAAAGGGGGATCCCAGGAGATCACTAGTGCTGGAGACGTTTAGCGCTGCACACCACAGTGTGTTGAAACACATTTTCCCCTTTGCATTCAAATCAGGACACTGTGTAGAACACACAGAACAGAGTTGGAAGGGTCCTTGAAGGTCTTCTAGTCCAACCCATGTTCAAGCAGGAGGCCCTATACCAGGGGTCTTCAAACTTGGCCCTTTTATGACTTGTGGACTTCAACTCCCAGAATTCCTCAGCCAGCCTCCATTTTGTTTGTTAGATTTAAGACCGGGGTCTTCAAACTTGGCCCTTTAATGACTTGTGGACTTCAACTCCCAGAATTCCTCAGCCAGAGTGCCTGGCTGAGGAATTCTGGGAGTTGAAGTCCACAAGTCATAAAAGGGCCATATTTGAAGACTCCTGCCCTATACCATTCCAAACAAATGGCTGTCCAATATGTTCTTGTAAACCTCCGGCGATGGAGCATCCAGAACGTCTGGAAGTTAAGTTTTCCCATTGATTAAAAGTTTGAATCAGTGTCAGGAAATTTCTCCTTAATTCTAGGTTGGCTCTCTCCTTGACTGACAGAATAACAGAATCGGAAGGGACCTTGGAGGTCTGCTAGCCCAACCCCCTACTCAAGTAGGAGACCTTATACCACTATTCCAGACTAATGGCTGTCCAATCTCTTCTTAAAAACCTCCACCAATGTAGCGTCCACAACTTCTGGAGGCAAGTCATTCCACTGATTAATTGTTCTAACTGTCAGGAAATTTCTCCTCAGTTCTAGGTACGCCTCTCTCTTTCTTTGACAGGTGGAACATGTTTCTGAGTAAGCGGGCCTAGAAACTGTAACACTGTTGAGAAATGCTTGAATTGATTTCACTCAAACTACCCAGAAATTTGTCCCATTGAATTCAATGGCAGAGAGAAGGGGGTGCATAGAGCTGAACCCTCCATGGATTAGCATTCATTCATCAGGTTAATACCGTATATATCAATGGTCTTCAAACTTGGCAACTTTAAGACTTGTGGACTTCAACTCTCAGAATTCCTCAGCCAGCCCTGGCTGGCTGAGGAATTCTGGGAGTTGAAGTCCACAAGTCTTAAAGTATATATTTACCAGTGAATGAAGCACTGGCTCAGATTAAGATTGGATCATTCTCAGAATCAATAAATCCACCACCTTCAAAAGGAACTTGCATCAGCCACAACCAACTTAATTTTCAGTTCAATGGGTGTGTTTCACCCTTTCGTCCGTGCTTTGATTTTTGGACGAATGAGGTGTCATCTCTGTTTTACAATCTTCAAATAATTTAAACTTCTTCCAGTCTGTATCCCTGACACCTACAGCCTTAGCAGTAAAAACAATGAACAACAATTTATAACTATAAATTATGCAGCCAAACAAAGAGACCTTTTGCTTCATTGTGAAGGAACAGTATTTAATCAATTGAGAGATTCTTTGAATTAATTAATCCAGCCAATTAAATGCTGCAGCTCCATAAATGATTAAAACCTTTTATTTTGTGAAGAGAGCTTTAGGGTAATAAATCTAACGTACTCATCTCCTCTGAGCAACACAAGAATCCCTTAATAGAAAGGTTTATTGACGTCTTATTCATATTTTCCATTGAGCTGTTCAGATTAGAAATTTAAAAACATGTACAAATAAGAGCAAAAATCGGGCAATTTGGCACAACCAGTGAAAATGAATTAATCACATACACACAAATGGGCTGGGTCTAAAAGTTTAGTCAGCATAAATTTATACAAAGCAGCAAAAATCTAGATGATAACATACTGTGTGTGTGTGTGTGTGTGTGTGTGTGTGTGTATACGTGGCAAAAATTGATAAATTGATAAATTTTCACAAGCAGGTTGGCTCACTTCATAGAAACCTCTGTAAAAAAAATCATTAAAGCAGATGCAATTGCGTATGAAATTAACCTTGGTTTGTGATAACTTAGTCGCACACCTGTGATTTAATGTGCTGCATAAACTCGGTTTGTTGGTGTAACGTATGGGCCAGTGTACAGGTAGTGCTCGACTTACAAGAGTTTATTTAGTGACTGGTTACAACAGCACTGAAAAAAGTGACTTATGACCGTTTTCTGCACTTAACGACCCCGTGGTCACGTGATCAAAATTCAGATGCTTGGCAACTGACTCATATTTATGACGGTCGCAGCATCCCGGGGTCATGTGATCCCCTTTTGGGACCTTCTGACAAGCCATGGAGAAGGGAGATGCACTTTACAACCGTGTTAAAAACTGCAATGATTCACTTTACAACTGTGGTAAAATGGGACAAAACTCACTTAACAAATGTCTCACTTAGCAGCAGAACCTTTGAGGCTCAATTGTGCTCGTTAAGTCGAGGACTATCTGCACTGCAGGAATCCAAAAGTAAATTATTTCAGCAGACAAGTTCAACGTGTGGTTGAAGATAATGGGCCCTCAGTGTCTCTTGTTAATTTAGATAAATTTTAGATAAATTTTCAAAGGTTAACTACATTGTTTATAGGCATTTGATCCAGGTGCATGAAAACCCTCAATTCCTACCCACTGCTTTATTTTTTTCCATATATTTAGACAACTCTATATTGTACATCTGTTAATATTTCCTTTTTAAAATAAAAACACCAGCTGGGAAAAATCTATTTGGTCCAAATAAATAGCCATAGCCAGACAAATTTTACCTATTAAAATTAATCCATGCCAGAAACTTGTCTGCTCAGCCTTCTATGGTAATAATTCTCAGATGAAAAATATTTCCCATTTATAGAAGTAGACATTCCTGCTATTAATCCAGAATCAATATAGAGCAGGGGTCCCCAAGCTATGGGCTGTGGCCCACTACCGGGCCGTGGGCTACTGGCCACCGGGCCGCAGGACAGGCTGGCCAGTGCATGGACATGTGTGCACGCTTGCGGACACATTTATGCATGTGCGCTGGGCTAGCACCAGCAGCTAGCACATATGCACCTACGCAAATTGGGCCGCTAGCGCGCACATGGGTTGCACAGCCCATTTGCGCATGCGCACGGGGCTAGCAGCAATGGCTAGTGCCTGCACTCATGCACAAATAAGGCCGCTAGTGTGCACGCAAGTTCCAAAGCCCGTTTCCGCCTGCGTGCGGGGCTAGCGCCTGCGTGCATGCACAAACAAGACTGCTAGCGTGCACGCGGGTTGCACGGCCCATTTGCATATGCATGCAGGGCTAGCGGCGGTGGCTAGTGCCTGCACGCCTACACAAACAGGGTCGCTAGCCCCGTGTGGGTGCGCGTGGCCCCATTTCTGCGCACGTGCACAAATTTCCCAGCTGTTCCCTTTCCCTCTGGACCACCAGCATGAAAAGGTTGGTGACTTCTGCTCTAGAGGTCTTCTAGTCCAGGAGTCCCCAAACCCCGGTCCGTGGACCAGTACCGGGCCATGGCATGCCAGCAACTGGTCCGCACAAGCAAGCAAAGCCCCATCTGTGAGATGCAGGCAGCACACAAAACCACGCACCCTTCAGTCCGTGGAAAAACCTCTCTCCACGAAACCAGTCCCTGGTGCCCAAAAGGTTGGGGATCTCTGTTCTAGACCAACCTCCTGCTCAAGCAGGAAACCCTGTAGCTCTTCATCAAATCTGATTTATTTATTTTTTGAAGTTTAAAGATATCCAGTTCGTTCAGTCTAGCTCAGCTTCCAATCTGCCCACATTATTCTTTTTCCTTTCTGGAACCTGTTACAACTTTCCTGAGAACTTCTTAAATTAGGGTTTCCAGGGCAAGCACAACATTCAAGGTGCCTTCCGACCAAACCATAGAGTTGTGGAGCTCTATGATTGGGAAATGATATAGCCTTTGATGTTATTTTTTAGGAACTACCATCAACAATACAGGTAGTCCTCGACTTACGACGGTTTGTTTAGTGACCCTGCGAAGGCACAATGTCACCGAAAAAAGTGACATGACCGTATTTTTCACACTTACAACCGTTACAGCATCCTCAGGGTCATGTGATCAAAAATTCAGACACTTGGCAACCGACTCGTATTTATGACGGTTGCAGATTCCCGGGATCATGTGATTTACCTTCTGACAAGCGAAGTCATTCACTTAACAACCGTGTTAGTAACTTAACAACGGCAGCAATTCACTTAACAATTATGGGCAAGAAAGATCACAAAATGGGGCTCATCTAACAAATGTCTCACTTAGCTACAAAGTTTTGGGCTCAGTTGTAGCCGTAAGTCGAGGACTGCCTGCGATCAATTATACAGTAAATCCAGGCTCCATTTCATATGTACGTTACCAATCTAGCTATCTTTCAGATTATATCTGAACTCATATTTGAATCCTTCCTCCATCTGTATCTAAATATGACC